GAGTACATTTGCTTTTGAATACTGTATGTAGTCAGTGCAGAGTTTTATTAACTCACACTGTCTCAGTCTCTAAATCCCTATTAAATTTTATGAATCATCTAATATAGTGCTTCCCAACGGGGGCAGTTTTGCTCCCAAGGGACATTTGGCAGTCTCTGGGGCTGCTTTTGGTTGTCTGAACTGGATGGTACTACTGGCTTCCATGGGTAAAGCCAAGAAATTATGCAGTTTCTGCTATCAATAGAGCTGAGGTTGAGAAGCCCAGATGACCTGCGTAACCTGTTACCCACTGTGTACCCACAGGCTAAGGAGAAGGTGTGGTCACACTCAGGCCAGCAGGAAACAACACCCGTCACCAGCAAAAGGACCTCCACCCTCACAGGTAACATCTCTTGAAGATCAGATATTTATTGATATAGAAAGCTATGTTATAAAAGTCCTTTTTCCATTATTGTTCTTATTCAGAAAAAGATACACATTTGCAAAGCTCAGCTGTAGGAAGAGGTGCAGTTTGAATACTTTTATTTGACTAGCTTTGGGTCTAATAGTTACAGGTAGGAAGGAGCCCTGGCGGGGTAGTGGATTATGAGTTGGACTCCTAACCAAAGGCCAACAGTTTAACTCCACCAGCTGCTCTGCAGGAAAAAGATGAGGCTTTCTGCTCCCATAAAAATGTACAGCCCCAGAAACCCTATACAGGGTCATTGTGAGTCAGAATTGACTACACGGCACATAACCACCACCACCAGTTACAGAACAGAGTCCTGGGGTGGCCCTGTAGGATAAGCACTGGATTGTTGACCACAAGTTCAGCAGTTCAAACCCACCAAGTGCTCGTAAGGCAACCCTATGAGTCTGAACCAGCTCAACGGCACTTAACAATAGCAATAGTTAGAAATAAGAATCTTTTAGAATTCAGTTTTATAGAATTCAGTTTTCAACCCAACATACTGGCTTCTACCTTGCTTTCTAAAAACTGTTAGCTAATGAAGAGAAGCTGCAGAAAAGACATGATTTACATGTAGCCAACATGACGCGGATCACATTGCCATCGAGTCAATTTTGACTCTTAGCAACCCTGTGTGGGGTTTGTGTTGTTGTTAAGTGATGTCAAGTCTGTTCAGACCCTGTTTAGGAGTTCCGAGGAGCAGCTGGTGTGTTTGAACTGCCGACCTTGTGGTTCAAAGTCCAGTGCTGATCCTATACCACCACACCAAAAGTCCAAGGTATACGGTTTATGAGATTGTAAATACTTGTTTTTGTTAAGTGCTGTCGAGTCGGTTCCAACTCATAGCGACCCTGTATAGGGTTTCCAAGGAGCAGCTGGTGAGTTTGAACTGCCTGCCTTGCGGTCCAAACCAACCTTGTGGTCCATTCTACAGTGCCACACCAGGACTCTGTAAATCCTTACAGGAGCAGGAAGTCCCATCTTTGTCCCATAGAGTTGCGGAGGGTTTGAACCTCTGACCTTATGGTTAGCAGTCCAGTGCTTACTGGAGCTCCCTGATCACGTATGTGTACATTAAATATTTTGGTGCAATGGTGGCTTCTAGAAATATGATCAGATGGACCTGCCTTCTTCTCTAAAAGAAGAGGTTAATAAGCTCAACAAGAAAACTGTGGAGAGGTTCAAGCTCTCTCTAGCGCTGAGGAGTCTGGCTGCATTTCCTACTGCCAGACAGCAGGATACCAGAGCAGATTTTGCTTCAAGAAATCCCAGACAGCCAGGAGATCTATAGGCATAAGAGACGTCCCACGCACAGAATCTGAAAAGACAAGAACATGATAGTGTTGGGGATTAGAAGCAAGTCGCTGTGGATAGAAATGAAAGCCCAGTGTGCAAAGGAGAGAAAAAAGGGTTTTATTCTAAAGACGGTGCTCGTGGAAGAGACATCAGTGAAAAAGCAGAACCAGCAACTGCAAAGGAATCTGTCCAGGACACAAGTACAAACAGCAAGCAATGGTAGCTGCATTCTGTGAAACGTAGGGCTTAGGATATAACACATCCACAGTGCACCTATGCGCCTTGACAACTTAAGGCCTTAGCAGAGGACCGGGGGGTGGGCAGCTGTGCAACAGCGATTGAGATCCAAGCTGCCCAGCGTATGTAATATTTTCATGGTTATGTTTTCTTGCCTTTATTGTTTTCTTACCTGTGACATCTTATTGTTTTCTAATTCATCCTCCAACCAGTGGAAAAAGACAATGATTATTAAAATTTACAAGAATTTAAAAAAATTTCAGATGAAGAGTTTTAGTTTTAGCTATATAGAGCACATCATTCCTAAAAACAAGAATCAAATAGTAATCAGATATATCTGTAAAAATCTTTATTTTTAAAAATGCATTTACTTTATAATATATGATAGATTTGGTTTTTGTTTGTTGTTGTTGTTAAGTGCCATCAAGTAGGCTGCAATCAATAGCAACCCTTGTGTAGGGTTTCCGAGGAATGACTGGTGAGCTTGAACCACCAACTTTGCAATTCAAACTGGCTTTGCAGCCCAGTGCATTAACCCACAGTGCCATACCAGGACTCTGATATATTGGTTATTTACCCATAAATCAGAGGGTAATTCAAAAAGTACTGCTACAAAATCATAGAAGCCTTCATTAAACAAAAATATCAGCATGTGAAACTATTGTTTTTCAACATATCCTTCATCTAGGTCTATTCACTTCTGAAGTCTGTTTCCACCTCTCTAACCCTTCCCCAAATAATACCACATTCTCTGATTTACACCATATCAAAACTGCAGTTTGGGCATCCTTAAAGGTCTCAAATGTGTTCCTTTTCAATGTTCTCTGAGTTTGGGGAACAAAAAGAAGTCTGAAGGGTCAAGATCAGGGATGTAGGGTGGATGGGATAAAATTTCTCAATGAAATTTTCCTAGGCAGCTACCCTCAAAGAATGAGCAGATATATTATTGTGAATGAAAAAATTCTTCAGAACAATTTTCCGGACCTGTTTCCTACCAAGGTAGTTTTCCATTTTCTTAAAACTTCTTCCTCATAAGCCCCCATGAGTATCCTATGTCCTTCGAGAAAATCTATCAAGATTACCCATTTGGGATAAAACAAAGCAAAACAGTCGTCATAACTTTCTGAGCTGACTTTACTGCCTTGAATTTGACTGGTCCCATCAGAAGCCACTGTTTTGATTGGACCTTTTTCTTTGAAGACCCTCCAATGATATAAGACATGTGTATTACTGAGCAAACTTGCCTGAATCAATCCACTGGCCACAGAGACATGTTCGAACATGTTTTGTGTGGAATAAACCCATGCACGTATGAACTGAAACCCTACTAGCAATGCTTTCTAACTTATCCTAGTGCAATGAAGGGAATCCTGTGTGGCACTGTGGGATAAAGCACTGGGCCACAAGGTTAGTTTGATCCACAAAGTTGAGGGTTCAAACTCATCAGCTGCTACTTGGAAACCCTATACAGGGTCAAGATGAGTTGGATCTGGCTCTATGGTACTTAACAACAACAGTATACTGTGGATGATGTAAATGGATTATTGAATGACCTTATTCCTAAATTATCACTGTAATTGGATAATAATGACAGTTCTGCCCAGAGAGTTGTGTTGTTGTTGTGAAGTGCCGTCGAGTCAGTTCTGACCCATAGCGACCCTTTATAGGGTTTCTGAGGAGCAGCTGGTGAGCTTGAACTGCTGACCTTGCAGTTCAAATGGCTTAATGGACTATATAGGGTATGCTTTTTCTTTCTTTTTTTTCTCAATGAATCCAAATAATTGCTCACATTTAAATTAGAGTGGTCTCAAGTTTAGATTATGACCTGTGTGGACTATATCGGGTTAGAAATTTCCAACTACTTTGACATTTCTAAAAGCAACACTTAAGATGCACTCAACAGCAGTTAAGTGGTCCTGATAGTCTTTCTTACAAATGCTAAGTATTAGCTTCATGAATCATATATAACGATATTCAAGGGAAACTTGTATTTTTGATTGGAATGACTAGAAATGAACCCTGTGGCCCACTGCATTTTAGTATTATAGAAGTACATTGCTGACCTGAGACCCCGATGTTTGCTTGATGAATGACCTCTTCTCCCTTTCACCTTCTAGAAGATGTTCCGGCCCCACCTGCCCCATTTACTCATCGAATTGTCACCATCAAACAAGCAGCAGTCAGCAGTTTCTATACTGTGAACAGGACAGAGATGTTGGGAAGGTAAGTAGTGCTCAGTCTTAACAAGAAGAGAGCTTTCGAAGAGATAGATGCTCAGGACATCATAAGGATTTGCCAGTCTTAACTTGTGAGCCAGATTCATTACAAAGAAACATGTATGAGATTTTAGCCATTTCTTTGAACGTCTATCACAGCTGCTAGGAATGTTGCTAAGATGGCGATAATTGAATTCCAAATTTATCATCTGCTTTCCTTCCCATGTGGGAGTGTCTGAAAATGAGGGGTTCCCAGTGGGTCACCCAGAGATTTAGATGTAGAAGTTGTATGGTGCTTTACCTTAAACACCAAGAAACAAACTGTGGAAATGAGTGTATTTCTCCAGGCATGTGCATATCTTTATATCACCGTTGCTAGTTTTCAACTTACATTGTTACAACACTCCTTACTAGTGTCCATTCCAGCTGCTTGCCTTCATTATCAATGAACTGATTTGGGAGAATCTAAATGAAAATCCATCGGGGACTGAGTTTATTTCTGGGAATGTTCTTTCCTCTTATACTTTAGTCACAATATCCTCATTGACTTAAAATTCAAATTATAAAGTTTGCTACCATCAGCATTTTTTTGTAAGCTGGGAAAAGGAGAGCAGAAAACATATAACTATGTTGAAAACGTAATGTCTAATGTACCTAAAACCTGCGTACTGACTATTGCAAGTAGAGTTCTGCAATTCATCGTCAAGATTTAACAGAGATTTCTGAAGTCCCTTTCTCCTCTTCCCATTTCTTATTTCTTTTGATCTTTGACACACAGTGCCACATGAGTGAGTTCATCTTCAATGAGTGATTAGAGGGTCTCCCTATGAGACTAAGGGGACCGGTAGAGGGAGAAATGGGGTTCAGAAGCATGAAGAGGAGCCATGAAGTCTGAGCGTTACTTAGCTTGTTTGAATCTCCAGTGATTTCACTGTTAATTCTGGAACTACTTCTCTAAGCTGAAAAAAACCCCAAATAAATCCACTCTTGTTGAGTCAGTTCCCACTTGAATCATCAGGGAAGCAGACTGCCACACTGTTTTTCTATGGAGCGGCTGGTGGATTTGAACCACTGATCTTTCAGCTAACTGCGCCACCAATTACTTACGTACGAGAGTATGACTTTGTGACAATGCCTAGGGTTTATGCTGCTTCACTGGCCAAGGTTTATAGAAGGCATCTTAAGAACATCTTTCTTTCTGTCACTCATCTCAGTCATGTGGTCCAAGGGGTTGTACTGCACTTGGCAACAGCAATTTCTTGTTCTTGACTTCATTCAAAACTGGCAGTCATAACAGACTCAGTAACTAAGTTGTTGTTAACTGCCACTGAGTTGACTCCTAGCCTGTGGTGACTCTGTGCACAATGGAACAAGAGGCTGCCTGGTCCTGGACATCCCAGTTTTCAGTATATTTCTGTATGTGATTATATTCTGTCTGGCAAAGTATGCATAAACTCAAAGCAACGTTATGCATCAAAAACCTCAGAGAAGATTCTATGATTTTGCAAATGCAAAAAATGACTTTGTATTTGTTCTATCATATTTACTTTTATGTAATTTTGTTGTACCTCTTATAAATATATTTTTTCCAAAAATAATTTGATGTACCTGCTCATATGCTTGGTAGTCCCAGAGAGCAAAAACAGTTAACACACTTGGTTGCTCACTGAAAGCTTGGAAGTATTTTGAGAGAAAGGCTTTGTGATCATCTACTTCCCAAAAGATGTCCTTGAAAGGTCTACGGAGCACAGTCCTACTGTGAGGAATAAGGAGTCACCATGAGTTGGAGTCATGCTAAGGCAGTAGGTTTTCTACTGGTTCCTATGGTATGGTGCTGGAGGGTGACCACTGGACTGCTCACTGCAAATTCAGTGATTCAAACCCACCAGCAGCTCCTCAGAAACCCTATACAAGGTTACTATGAGTTAGAACCAACTCCATGGCACTTCACAACAAGAACAATGACATGCTTACAAAGTCTTGCTTAGTACAGTCATAAGTATTCAGAAGACAATACTATTTATATGAGTGGTTCTCAAGTTTTAGGGTACATATGAATCGCCAGAGAAAGGTGATGAAAATGCAGGTTCTGGGGCCTCACTCTGGTCAGGAGTACAGCCCAGAAATCTGTATTCTTAAGTCCTCACCACTTGTCTGTCGGTTTGTCGCACTGTGGTGGCTGTGATGCTGGAAGCTATGTCACTGGTATTTTAAATGCCAGCAGAGTCACCCGTGGTGAACAGGTTGCAACAAAGCTTCCAGAATTGAGACAGACTAGGAAGAAAGAGAAATGTTTGCCACAGAAAACCTTATTAATAGCAGCAGAATACTGTCTGATTTAGTGTTAGAAGAAGAGCGCCTCAGGTTGGAAAGCACTCAAATATGACTGAGGAAGAGCTAACTCCTAAAAGTAAAGTTGATGTTGTTGTCATGGATGGCACAAAGCCTACAGGAGCTTCCTTTGCTGATGGGACACAACTCAAAATGAGAAGAAATATCTACAGGCATCCATTAATAATCATAACATAGAGTGTAAGAAGTAGGAATCTAGTAAAATAGGAAATCATCAGAAAGGAAATAGCATGCATGAATGTACACATCCTAGCATTAGTGAGCTGAAATGAACTGGCATTCGCCTTTTGAATTGGACAATCATATGGTTTACTATGCAGGGAATGAAAAACTAAAGAGTCCAATTCATGGTTAAAAACAGAATTTCAAGATCTATCTTAAAGTCTAATGCTTTTTGTGATAGGACAATTGCCACACACCTACAGCGAAGACCAGTTAATATCTCTATTGCTCAAACTTATGCACCAGCCAATAAAGTTCTAGATGATGAAATTGAAGACTTCTATCAACTTTTTCTGACTGAAATTGATCAAACATGCAATCAAGATGCATTAACAATAATTGGTCATTGGAATGTGAAAATTGGAAACAAAGAGGAAGGATCCACAATTGGAAAATATGGCTTGGGGGACAGAAGCAGTGCTTGAGATCACATGATAGAATTTTTCAAGAACAGTGACTAATTCATTGCAAATACCTTCTTTAAACAACATGAACAGTGACTATACACTTGCACCTCATGAGATAAAACTGACTCCATCTGTGGGAAAAGATGCTTGAGAAGGGAAGAACACAAGACCAGGGCCAACTGTGGAGGAGACCATCAATTGCTTATGTGGAAGTTGAGACTAAAGCTGAAAAATAAATAAAACAAGATCATAAGAGCCAAAATGTGACCTGGAGTATATCCTACCTATATTTACAGAACACCTCAAGAACAGATTTGATGCATTAAACATTAATGACTGAAGAACAAAAGAGTTGTGGGATGACATCAAGAACATCATCCAAGAAGTAAACAAAAGGTCATTAAAAAAGATAAGAAAGAAAGGTCCAAAATGGATGCAAGAAGAGACTCTGAATCTTGCTCTAGCATGTAGAGAAATTAAAGCGAGTGGAAGAAATGAGGAAGTCAAAAAGCTGAACATAAGATTTCAAATGGCAACTTGAGAAGACAAAGTAAAATATTTCAGTGAAATGTTAATAATAAAAAGGACAAAGATCTAGAGTTAGAAAACCAAAAGTGAAGAACATTTCTGAAGTTGAAAGAAGTGAAGAAAATACTTAAGCTTTGGGTTGCAATATTGAATGATTCTATGGGTAAAAGATTGAATGATGCAGGAACCATCAAAAAAAGATGGAAGGAATATATCAAGTCACTGTACACTAAAAAAATACTGGTCAATGTGAAAGTTGGACAATGAATAAGGAAGACCGGAGAAGAGCCAATGCATTTGAATTATGGTATTGGCAAAGACTATTGGGAGTAGCATGAATTGCCAGACAAACAAACAAATCAATCTTGGAAGAAGTACAGCCTGAATGTTCCTTAGAAGCCAGGATGGTGAGAGTTTACCTCATGTGCTTTAGACACGTTATTGGGAGTGCTTTGTCCGGCTGGGCCTAGGGTTGCCCTGAGTCAGAACTGACTGGATGGCACCTAACAACAACAATACATACACACCAGGTGTTCCTTCTCAAGTAATCCACAGACTACACTTTGAAAACCCGTTTGAGAAGCTTATTTAATAAAATAGATACAATAAGAGGCTTGTTCATTCACACTCAGAGAAGAGCCTGCAGCGGAGAAAAACCAAAAACTTGGCTGTGCTACAGATTCCGTTCCGACTCATGTGATGGTGGTGTGCTGCGGAGTCGGTTTCGATTCGTAGCGACCCTGTACAGGGTTTCCGAGGCTGTAAATCTTTACGGATCAGAAAGCCTCATCTTTCTCCCGCGGAACAGCTGGTAGTTTCGAACTGCCGGCCTTGAGGTTTGCAACCCCATTCGTCCCCAAACCACGGGCTCTTGCTGGATGGCACTGATAACCCCTCGCGTTTGCGCTCTTCTCTTCCTTTCCAGGGGGCGCTTTGGCCAAGTTCACAAGTGTGAGGAGAAAGCCACAGGTCTGAAACTGGCAGCTAAAATTATTAAGACCAGAGGCACTAAGGACAAGGTAAGGACGGTGTGGGTGGAACTCCCCCTTCGCCTCCAGCCTTCACAGCTCTGAAAGGCCCTTCCTTCTTCACAGGATGAAGTAAAGAATGAGATAAACATCATGAACCAGTTGTACCACGTGAACCTCATTCAGCTGTATGACGCCTTCGAGTCCAAGAAAGACATGGTTCTGGTCATGGAGTAGTATGTGGCCCTTCCTGACCCCCCTGCATGCCCTCTCTTTCTCTCCTGCCAATTCCAGCACACTGTTGAGGCTTTCATCCATGGCTGCCTCAGTCTGTCTGATTGAGCACTGGTTGAAACCTCATTTCAATGAGACATCACTGATTCTGACCTATACAAATTTGACACTTCCACCAACTTCACAAAGGAAAGTGTTTATGAATATGCATTTCCACTTGTAGTTTTATTTATTAGGGGTAGCATAGAAAAGCAGATTTAGTTTTGTTTTAAGTTATATTATCAAAAACAAACTTAAATATTATTCTCAATTACCTAGAGCAAAGCGATTTCTGAACTGTGTTTCACTTTCAACCTCATCATCAATATAAAGTTTAGAGTTGTTGTTGTTAAGTGCCATTGAGTCAGTTCCAATTCATGGCGACCCTGTTTAGGGTTTTTGAGGAGCGGTGTGTGAGCTTGAACTGCCAAACTTGCAGTACAAACCCACCTTGCAGTCCAGTGCATTAACCTGCAGCACCACACAAGAAAACACTGATAACTTGGGTTATGAGATTTCCATTTAAAGCCATTTTTATTAAAGAAAACGTACAACTGGTTACTCAGTTATAAGATATGAGAGACTCAATATTGTGATTTAGTTCATTTTTTTCCCAATTTGGGTTTTATTTATCTTATGTAATGGCTCCATACGATAAGCACTGGCCTGCAAACCACAAGGGCCATGGTTTGAGCCTGCCAACCACTCCGCCGGACATGAGGCTTTTTAAAGCCTTGGAAACCCCTACACAGGGCTTCTCTGAGTCAACCGACTTGATGGCACTTAGCAACAACAACAATTATAAATTTTGTGTAGTAAAATATGTAGCCTCTGCCCCCTTATAAACACTTTGTAACTGGGTCAGGGTCAGGGTCAGGATCCTGGCTAGACTTCACAGTGTTTGAAATTTCCCTTCACTGCGTTTCTGCAGTTCTCATCATCTTCCACGTTAGAGAAGGCAGATGTGGACTCCCGCCAATGTGATAGCTACGAATGACAGGCACTTTACAATGTCCTGTTTGTGAAACTGAACGTATATAAAATAAAGGCGTCCTATAGCAGAGTTCTCTAACAAGGCATTAAAAAAAAAAGGTAGAGAAAGAGACAGCAGTGTGCACGCATCTTATGGAAGAGTATCTTAAACACCAAGAAAGCTAGGGGGTCATTAAAGATCCTACTTAGGGCTCCTACCTCTCCCCTCTGCAGCGTGGATGGAGGGGAGCTGCTGGACCGGATCATTGATGAAAACGACAATCTGACAGAGCTCGAAGCCATCCTGTTCATTAAGCAGATCTGCGAGGGGCTCAGGCATATGCACCAGATGTGTGTCCTCCATTTGGACCTGAAGGTGGGCATGCTGCATCCCTCGCCTCACACTGGCCAGTAAGACCATTTTAGAACATTGTTTAATTACTAGCTACACATCCAGCAGTCAGTAAAAATCTCTATTCTGACCCATATCTCTTTTATTCACAACTTGCTTCACCCTGAGTATTTGTATGTTCCTATCTCTGAGGGTACCTATTTCAGATTCTTATAACCTGCCTGTGGTTATAAGAACTGTTTCCTTGAATACATCTACATGGGCAATTGTTTTCCTAGAAATTTAAAACAGCAATAATGACCGTAGGAGCCCTTGAGGCGCAATGGTTAAACATTCTATGGCTAGCTGAAAGGTCAAGGTTACAACTTAGCCTGAGACTCTGCAGAAGGAAGACCCGGAGATCCTTCCGTGTACGGATTGCAACCTAGAAAGCTCTCTGAGGGACGTTCTCCTTGTCACATGGGGTCACTACGAGTTAAAGCTGATTTGATGGCTTCTAACACCAGCCAGATATTCTAACTCACCAAGAACCCTCATTACTGAAATTTTGGGGGAGCTCTGGGCTTTTGAGGTATATAGAACCCTGCGTAGTAACCTCTGGCAGAATGGCAATGCAGGGCAGACAAAAGTCAGGTGCTGAAATGCTCGAGTCTGGTGGCTGTAGGTGAGGTTGGGATAACACACAGAGCAGGTGGGAAGCACACACTGTGAAAGCTGAAGAAGCTGCCTGCCACCCTGTCCCTCTTCCTCTGTACTTTCCCAATCAGAGGCCCAGGACTGATGCCCCTGGTCAGCTCTAGTATGGGGTTAAGTATCACCAAGTATGTTTTGTACAGCTCCATCAAAGCTCATTTTCCTGTTTTCACAGCATGGTGGTAAGATGAAATATTCTTCCATATAACCTATCATATGTTACAAGCCACCAGGAATCATAAAGCTAAATACTTAGGCTCTAACTAGGTTTCCATTGGCCTTTCTTCCTCGTACTTAGCTTCCCTTGCTGACTTGGTTGACACATTGCCTCTGCCTTCCACTCTGAGTGGGACGCAAAGAGAGAGTTGTGTAAATGACCGAGTAAGAGGCGGCAAAGGTCTTGGCTGTATATTGACCTCAGTAGTGAGAGTTTTCATTTTCAGTGCGGACACTGTGCAGATTTCCATGGGGATTTGATTGGTGACTGGAACTGAAAGTTGACCTACCACAAGTCAAATGGTTCCATGTGTGGCTTCATGATGTGTATTGAGGACATCAGTTCACAGTTTCGGTTATGGCTTTCATGTAAAGAGAATTAAAAAGGTAAAGGCGGAGTGGTCCATCAAAGATCAGTCATTACTTTCAGAAGGCTCCCTTGGAAAGAGAGAGAGCTAACAGCAAAACCAGTTGTCACGGACTCAGAGTAGAACTGTGCTCAGAGGGTTTTTCAAAGTAGCTTGTAAAGCCTTCCTTTGGAGGAAACCCTGAATGAATTTGAAATGACAATCTTTCAGTTAGCAGCAGACTGCATTAACCATGTGTGCCACTCAGGGACTCCTTGGGAGGAAAAGGGCCAAACATAATAATGCCCGTGATTTAAAAAATGCGCTCCTTGACATTTTTCTTTGCTCTTCAAATGTTATTCAGAGAACATGCTTTAATTTCAAAGTCAGAAAGAAATAACTTTTGAAATACCTCAAAGCTACTTCTTCACATTTTTTTCAAACAAATGTTAGTGTTTTTTTCAAATTCCATAGTATTCTTTGATAATTGGACAGTCTTATACATGAGTGAGCAGTTATTTAAGCATGAAACCACGCTTCTTACAAAGGACCAACTTCTCTCTAAACAGCTTTTGGTCACAGAACTCTGCTTGAGAGATATTTCAGAAAATGATGAATTCCTGAACATTGATGAAGAGACACGGTGTCATGTTATAGGATGCTTCTGAATTTCTTATCACACATGACCCTCTCTTCCATTCAGCCTCAGAAGGGAGGATTATCCTACCGAAAGGGGAAGAAATGGAAACTGACTAATGCTCTCCACCTTTTAGGGCAAATTGGAGCTCAAAATAAAGATTTCTAAGCTCTTCTGTGAAAGCTTCATTTCTTTTGGAAATGACTTTGACTTTAACTCAAAGCCCTTACTCTCTTCAGATGTAGGTACATTGATAAGACATCATATAAACACTATCTGGAGTCCTGGTAAGGTGCTGTAGGATAAGCGCTAGATCACAAGGTCAGTTTGAAGCACAGGGTTGGTGGTTAGAACTCACCAGCTGCTCCTCTGAAACACTGTACAGGGTCACTATGAGTCAGAACTGACTCGATGGCACTTAACAACAACAAACACTCTTTTTATTGCCTACCATCTACATTTCTTTCCATTCATGCCAGAGAGCAGGGTAAGGTCTTACCAGAGTCAACCAAGGGGTCTCTCAGGCAAAGGTTTCAGGCATTGAGACCAAGCTCAGCAGAACGTCAGAGCTGTTGCGAATACATACTGAGAAGTGAAGGAAGCCTTTCTTGGACGTTGGACTTCCTCATCAACAAAGTACAAGAGGAAAATCTATCAGAAAAGAACCTTCCCATTATCCTGCGTATTTAGAGTGACTGTTTAAATAAGTCTGGCTGCTTCTCTCATAACCTGTAAATCTCAGGAGAAAATGCTCCTCCACGAAGGGAAAATTCATATTTATTAATTCTAGAAGGCAGATGTCAAATAGAAATGACCGCCACCAGTTCACTTGGAGAGCACTGAACAGCTTCCCTTCTTTCTTTTCACCATCGTTTTGGGGACTGTAGAACCAGGGAAAGGGATAGGCAGGGTAACACAAGGTTGGCAGGGGTCCCACAACCGCACCCACCACATAATGAAAGAAGAAAATACTCACACAGACCAGCCAGCTGAGACGTGAAAGACTTGATGTGTTTTTCTGAGCATTGCTGTATTTTTAGTTGTGGTTCAAAGTCAATTTGAGTAAACAATGGTTGTTTTCATTGCTAATGTGTCTCCTCTTTCTCCCACAGCCTGAGAATATCCTATGTGTGAATCGGGATGCTAAGCAAATAAAAATCATTGATTTTGGATTGGCCAGAAGGTTTGTCTATTTGGACATTGGGGTATGAATGGAGTTAAGGCAGATGGATGCTCTTTCTTTGCAAAGAAAAATTCCATATACCCCTTGGCTCCATACCCTTATTTAGAATTAATTTAGCAAAAAGTATGTTCTTGAAAGAGAAAGACTGAGTGCTGGTGGCCAGGAGGCAGGCTTGTAGAATGTGCCCTTTGGTTGTTTAAATTACTATACATTCCTGAGTATTTTTGTGTACATCCCCCCTCCCCCAAATACAACAACAATAAAGGGGATAGAAGCAAATGCCGTTGAATGATGAGGCATGGAGGAGATTGTAATCATTGCAATTGAAATGATGAGAGTAAACCGATGTTCTCCCAATGTAAACGATCACTCCATTCACAACAAACACTTAAAAAAAAAAAAAAAAGTTCAATCTTATATAGGGAAATCCGGGACTTGACTGTTGAAAATGTTTTATAATTCCTGATGTGCTGCTGTAGGATAAAACACTAGACCATAAGTTCAGTTTGAATGCAAGGCCGGCAGTTCAAACCCACCAGCCACTCCTCAGAAACCCTATACAGTGTTGTTATGAGTTGGAACCAACTGTACAGCACTTAACAACAACAATAATAACATAAGTTAAGAAAAAAAATATGAAAATGAACACCTCATATGGTAAAATTTATTAAACTGGGAGCTATTAATTTATAATTTATAAGTTTATCTTTGTCTTTTATTTGTTCTGTCTGTACAGAGATTTATTTTAAAAAAATAATAGTATAAACAAAAATGAGAAAAGTTCTAGCATGTATGAATGTCTTAAGGGAACAAAGAGTTTTCATGGGATTTAGACCATTAAAGAGGCATCTGAAATGGGTGTTTTAAGTTACTCCTTAATGTAGAGTTATCCCAGCCATCTCCAGGCCAGCGACTGTGTCAGCATTCCTTTGAAAGTCTTCTATAATTCAGATGTTCTAATTATTCTGAGTGGCATTTTCCACAACAGTTTCAGACTGATAAAATTTTACAGTATGAATTATGACTCTTAAAAGCCCTGGAATGTCTTTCCACGTTCTTGATACTGCTCCTTTAAACACCCAATTTTCTTTCAAGTCTGTTTATCTAAGTCCTTTTGTATAATTAACGTTAATTTGTCTTATAGACTAACTACATGGTTTCAATTTCTCAAGACGTTTTGTGTTGATTCCTCTACCTTTTCTCTGAAATTTCAGATATAAACCCAGAGAGAAACTGAGGGTGAACTTTGGCACGCCTGAATTCCTTGCCCCTGAGGTTGTGAATTATGACTTCGTGTCCTTCCCTACTGACATGTGGAGTGTGGGAGTCATCGCTTACATGCTGTAAGAGCTCCAGCTGACCCGTGTGCTCACACTCAGGGCTCTACTGTGAGGGTTAGTCATTGAAGTCTTCAAAAAGTTCACCCACTGCTCACTCGTTGATGTGGTTAGTTTCTAAGAGCAGGCCATTGTGTGATCACTGGCTTTATATGAACATGGAGGATGACTACATCACTAGATAACTGCCAGATTTCATCATTACAGAACTGGAAATTTACTGCGTTACATAACTGCCAAATTTCTTCATTACAAAATCACCAAACCACTGAGAATTGTTCACCATCACAGCTAGGGTTCTTCTTGTCAGGCACCTTGGCATTCATGACAGCAAGATGTGCAAAATAGTCAGAGAGTCAATTTTTGACGATTGTAAATGCAAAATGTCAGATAATGAGATAGACCCAGAAGCCTTGGTCAAACCTGGAAACCAAACTTGCTGCTGGCAAGTTCATTCTGGGTCACAGCAGCTCTCTTGGACACAGCAGCACTTTCCCAGGGGGTTCCTGGGGTGGCACTGGGGGTTAATGCATGGGACTAAAAAGTCCATTTGAACCACAAGGTTGGTGGTTCAAACTTACCAGCTGC